TTGAGCCAGGCTCAACATAAAGTAAATTACCCCCATCTACTGAGACATGAAATTAAGCTCTAAATTCCTTAGAAATTTTATCTAAATAAATGATTATGAACTGCTAATCAATTGCATTTAACATTGCCATTCACAGTTGGAACAAGTGATAGTATTGTTGTTAAGAATTCTTTCTCAATTAAAGCAATCAGCAACTACTAAAATGCAGATGTTTTACAGCCCAGAACCCTCTCAACTAAAGTGTGAAAAATGGATTGCTCCTAGTTGTTTCTTTACCACATACAGACAATGACCACTTTGTACATGTTCAAAGCACACACACGTCGTCACAAACCCAGAAGTAGCAGGAAAAGGAAGCAGAACAGAGTGAGCTTATACGCACTCTGCTGTCGCACACGTTGACCCAGAATGCAACCCCCCCACAAATTTGGACTTGCCTGTATATGGTTCCCATGATTATTTTATGTGCATACACATTTCCTTTGTACCACACTACCATGTCTTACCAATACATTTCTCTGTGACATCCTTTATCAGATATATCTATCCATATAATTTACATTTTTAACCACCTAACTCAAGCATGCACAATTACCCCTTTTCCACATTTTCTATCTTCTCATCATTTGTCAGTAGAATTCCCATTTCCTACAGCTGCATGTCTTTGATTAACAAAATACACAAACTTTAATGCTTGTGTTTCCTGTGCCTTTTAGCCACACATTCCTTGTGCCATGCATCTTACACCCACCCACCCATCCTCTCATATGTCTGCCTTTTCCTTTAATACCATTCTTTCATGTTCATCTTTAACAGACATAATTTAAGCCAGAAAGCCTGGAACACGCAAAGTAACAATATAGGAGAGTGCCTCTGATTATGTGCGAAAGGCACACAGTATTTCTCAACCTTGGGTCCCCAGATGTTGTTGGACTACAACTCCCATCATCCCTGAACTCTGGCCTTGCTAGCTAGGGATGATGGGAGTTGAAGGCCAAAAACATATAGGGACCCAAGGTTGAGAAAGGCTGCTATAGAGTATACAGAACAGTAATCTAACCCAACAGTGTGACAAAACTCTCTGCTCAGAGTACTATATAGTGCAACAAGGGAAAGTTCCGCACATGTAGTAGGCTTGTTACCTTATCCTAATGAATCAAAAAGAGTTTCAGCACTCACAACTTCCTCAAACCTTCATAAACCTTATCCCCAAATTGTATTTGTTATCAAGATCCTGCAAATAGGTAGAGAGTGGCAAAGGAGTGGGGTACTTGGGGACGGGGAGAGAAACCATAGTCAAGCCAAAACAAAACACCACACGCTGTGCTTCTCCTTCTCCCAAATGCTTCTTGTGAAAATGCTGACCCCAGTTTCATCATCTGCACATGGAGTAGCAAGTTGGGGTGTTTGTTTCAAGACTGGTTCTCACCAACATTTTAACTTAGTTGAGAACTTGAATCTTCATATCACTGGCAATGCTAATGTTATTAACCAGTGTTGCTCAAAAGTATGCCAACATTTTTATGGTTGACTTAAATTATTTTTGCTCAGCTCATGTCCCCAGACGCATCCTTTACCTGAAGCATGAATATGACATCATCATCCGGACTTAAAGGCAGGATGACCTTGAAAAATTCCCTCTGGATTTCAACAGTTTTCAATCATCAACAGCCTGACCCTGGGCCAGTGCCTGCAGAATGCTTACTTCTAGGACGCTACTGTGCAGCTACACTGAACATGTAAGAACCATCTTATGAAATAAATTCACTGGTGTTTGCATGTATCTGCACGTTTCTGACTTCCACCCAGAACATGCCAGTGTCCTTGCTTACAGGATGTCTCCTTTTTAAAACTACTTACAACAGGTAACATAACAGAAATACAAACACAAGGACCACCAGATGCAAACTCTGTTCTCATTTTCCTTTTGGCAACATAATATCCAAAAGAACCAGCAAGAACATCAGGAACTCATTCACCCACTCATCTTCCAAACTGCAATGACTGCCTCTTTTTTACGTAAGAAAAACTGGACAGTCACTTACACAGATGAATAAAAGGACAGAAATCTGGTATCAGAACTGTCAACATTCAGAAAGCAGTGGAAGATTGTCTCAATCCCTCAGGCTACTTCGCCAGCAACATGACCATTACCATTCTCCAGTAGCACCTTAGAGATCAACGAAGTTTGTTCTGGGTACAGTATAAGCTTTCATGTGCATGCACACTTCTTCAGATACCTGAAGAATCTGAAGTATCTAAAGAACTGTGCATGCACACGAAAGCTTATACCCAGAACAAACTTAGTAAGTCTCTAAGGCGCTACTGGACAATATTTTATTTATTTTGACTGCGTCAGACCAACATGGCTACCTACCTGAATCTATTACCATTCTCTTCCAAGAAACTGCAAAGGGAAACTGCCATGTGAAATTACTAAACTGAATCAAAGAATTTTAGAGTTGGAAGTGACAACTGCAGGAATCTTTTGCCCAACATGGGGGTCGAACCCCCGACTCTGATATTAAGAGTCTCATGCTCTACCAACTGAGCTATGTTTATTTATTGTTTCATTTAACAAACCAACTTTTCTTCAAGGAGATCAAAGTGTACATGGGTCCTCAACATTTTATCCTCATAACAACATTGTGAATTAGGTTTGACTGAGTGAGACTGGCTGACCCAAGGTCACTGAGTGGGAATTTGAACCTAGCCCAAATATGACACATTAACCACTACAACATATTGGCTCTCCACCTGCAGCTTCCACTCTCCTCTTATGTGCAAAGGAAGGGCAGAACAGAGAGAAAGCAAGTCAGCCAAGTCTTGCCATGGCTCATGTCCAGTCTAAATTAAACTTCAGAATTATTGGCTGAACCTGGACATGTAGGGATCAAAATTTCATTGCCCTTAGGGATCAAAATTTCATTGCCCTTGGGAAAGGGAACATAGTAAGTCAGGCCACAGTTATATTAGAACCACAGGCTCAGCAAAAGGAAATTTATTTAAAACACACACACACACACACATCTTAGCAGGTTGCTAAGTAGAGAACTAATAATTTTATCATGTGTTAAAAATTATGGAAGGAGCCAACACAGCAGACCTTTGCAGAAAAGACATAGAAACACTTTAACTTCACCAGAAAACTCCCCCACTTGTCCAAAATTAGTATGGAAACCAGACAACATGCCAAAGATACTGTAAACTGTTGAAGAGTGGAAAAGGATCAGCATTAGCAACAAGATGATACAAGAGCTAAACTTCAGGGCCACTTTCAAGAGACATGCAAGCACAGTAATGCTACCTAGTTAAAGTGTCCAACTACAACATTAACAGAAGATACTGATAAACAATAGCTACAATATGAATGTAAGACCAACTGTCATTTTATGCATCTGTATTTGTTCCAGCTTTGCAGACTATTCTGTTACAAGTTAATTTAATTGTTTAAAAGGCGGTCAGGACAAACCCATGGTTTCTATTTTGAAACATACTTATTTGGGATTAATTAAAACCAAACTGAAACATACAAACTACACATTTCACTGTCACGTAATCTGTAACTAATGACAAGATAGTGTTTTCTCTTCCGTTTGCCACAAGCACTATTAAACTACCTCATGCGGCTCTCTCAAAACTTTTCAGAATACAGTATGGGCAAAACAGAATGCAGGCAAAACTTCAAATGATGGTGCTGGGGTGAAACATATTGGCTTCCTAATATAGTATTAACTATAATATAGTATTAACTATGACAGCACTTGGATATACATGAACTACTACCAAAATCCTGACCAGACAACTGTGCAAAGGGAGACTTTACCATGATGACATAATATACACAGTGTTTGTTTCTTCTGGCTATTGCAGTCTTTCACTGCTGCAATGTAAGAATAGACTCACATTAAAACTACAATAAATAAATAAATCTAATCACAGTGTGTTAATGAAACTGACATGTTGCCTTCCCAGAACCCTAACGCCTGAAAGTTTCCCAGAGCTTGTAGGTCCAGAGGACTACAACTCAATTGCCCAAACCACTGTCAATCTTTCCCTTCTTAGGGAAGCAGAATGCTTACATGTCCAGTTGCCTTGATAACCAAGCCCATGCATCCCTCTTCACTGGAGCTAAAGGCTCCACTGGATTGCATCCTGGTTGACATAAGAACCAAGACCCTGCTTCTTTACCAACATTCCTATGGCAATCCATCAATGATCTTTCCTTTAGCCTTTCAATGAATGATCTCACCCTTACTTCCCACTCTCTTTAGTGAAGTGACATCCCAACACCACACAGGCTTTTGCAGAAGGAAGGGGGGGGAACTCTACAAAAATAAGCAGGAAGATTCATTGTTCCCCTTCCCAATATTAACTGCAACTGATCAGAAACTTTGGGAAGAGTAGCTGTCATTGGCAAGGCTGTGAAGAGATCTGTGGAGCCCCAATATATGATTCAAGAACATCTACATTCAGCAATTACTTCCTTAGATGTGACAACTTATAAAGCATTCCTAAACATATCCCATCAGCATCTCAAAAGATTATAGTGACTTTGTGAAAAAACAGCTATTTTACAATAAGCAGGAACTAGAGATAATTTTATGTAACAGCTTGTCAACCAAGCAATGCTTGAGCTATGCCACATTTCTGAAAAAAATAGAACAAGAGTTCTTAAAAGTTATATAAACAGTCTCCTCTCGCCTTTAAACTTTAGAGATTTTTCTACTAGCTTTAAGGATCATAAGCGTCCTATCTCCAAAAAATCATACTGGCATCCCACAACACTCTTGAAAATGAAAGTAACGCTGCAGATGCAAGAGTAAAACAACAGCGCAATCCTTAAGCAACAAAGCAAGATGAATCACTGTGACAATAACACCTCAAATCTTTCGCTTGCTCAAAGCCAGTAAGACAATGGGTGGGAGAAAGAGCAATGGGAAGAGCGCAGAAGAAAACCTGATGAAGGGTGTATTTTAAAATGAAGAACAACATCTTACCTTCAAACGTTTGACTACTTCATCGTTCGTTATTTTATCTGTGATCTCCTTAACTCCAGGAGGGTAGAAGATGATTTTGCCGTCGGCAGGAGGCTTTGGTTGGGTGGATGGGAAATCCATCCTAGTGCTGCTAGTTATAAAGTTTCCTTCTCCACAGTCCTCTACCGGCCCCTATCGGTCAGAAAACAAAAGTTCAGCGGAATAGAGGCGACTTTCCGAACCTTTTTTCCCCTTCCCTCCCCCATTTCTAAACCTCGATTCAAAAGAAGGCCCCTGTGTTTCGCAGCGGCGAGGCCCAGGGCTTAAAGTCCGCCTGACCGGGGTCTCCCCGGATCCCCACGCCAGGTCCAGCCCGGCGCTCTCCCTCCCTTCCCCTTTCATTGGGCGGCTGCTCCGAAGCCCAACACCATTACTTTGGCTGCCTCGCGGTTCACAATGAAATGTTAACATTTTTTAAAACAAAAAACAAAAAACAAAGAAAAGACGGAAAGATCGCCTCTCCGCGCCCGGGCGAGAAACGGGTCTGCGGAGAGGAGACAAAAATAGAGCCGATCCCGAGACAGGCACTTCTTCCACCGAAGCCAGGAGGCGAGGCCTAAACAGTTAGGCCTCAAAACTATCAGGAGACGGGGAAGCCGACCGGAGGAGGAGAGGAGGAGGAGGAAAGGGAGTCAGGCGGAGGGGGGACCCCGAAAACAACGCAGCCCCAGCCGGCCACCCCATATTCCCCCCGCCCAGCCAAATCTTAAAACTCTTTCCCTCCCTGGCCGGGCCTGGCCTCCCCGCCTCAGGGACGGCGCTGCTTCCCTCAGGGGAGGGCGCAGGCCACTCTCCATCCACTTCTCTCAACTTCCACCTCAGGACCCCCTCCTGCAGCCCCTCGCCTCGTGTGAACGCCCGCCTCCGGCCCAGAGGGTCTTCCCGGCTGGTCGAAACGCGCCACGCCGGCGGGGAGAGCCGGGGAGGAAGGCGATGAGCAAGCGGCGGCAGCGGCAGCAGCAACAAGAGACCCGGACCCCAGGGGCGGCCGCCTCGCTCCCTGGCTCGCCCGCCCGCCTTTTTTTTTACCTCATGCAGCTCCGGAAGGTGCAGCATCGAGCGGCCTCCGGGGGCGGCTGCAGCCGTGGAGGGAGGCGCGGGAAGGGGCTGCCGCTCTCGCTCCGAAGACGACGACGACGACGGCCGGCGCCCTGCCTCGGCGACTCGCTCGCCTTCCCTCCCCCCACCGCGGCGGCGGCGGCGGCCTCAGTCCCGGCGGCGGCTGCTCAGGCTCTCAGGGAAGGAGGGCTCGGGCAGAGCGTGCGCCTGGCTCGGCCGCCTCGCCCGCGGGGAAGCAGCGCCGCTCCCTGGCCGGCCTGAGGAAGAGCAGCCCAGGAGGAGGAGGAGGAGAGTCTGCCGCCGCCGCCGCCCCCACTATACCGGCTTCTCCGAAAACCGCCTCGCGTTTCCGCGGAGCCTGAGGGAGCCCAAAGGTGTGCGGCTCTGCCTGTACCTACCCGCCGAAGTCCCATCCCGACGACCGGTTTGCCCTCACGGTTTGCTGCTCCCGGGTCGTGCGCGCGCGCGCTGGCGCCGAAGGCTGAGGCAACTCGTTTGGCGCCAAAACCAGGCGCTGCCGTGAGGCGGCCCGCAGCCCTGTAGGAATAGCTGGAGGGGCCAAGTGCGCCTCTTTTTTTAGATATATAAAAATTTATTTACTTGGTTTTCAGATTAAAGTCTTAAAATCACATAGCCAACATACAAGATTCCAAATAATCTCCTCCCCCTTTGTGGGTCCTATTGTTAATCATTTCTCTCACATCTTTTATGATGATCCAAATCTTTGACATCTCCCCTTATGTCCAAAATTCACAAGTGTTCCAGTCCCACTAACGGTTTTACGTGTTTACGATGGTTTTTAAGATAAATTATAAACTTTCCCCATTCCTTATTAAAATTTTGTTTCTTGTAAAAGTTGTTGCTTTTTCAACTCTTTCTTTCTTTTGATAAGCATTTTGTTGGATGAAAAAGCCCCTCATCACTGCTTTACTTGCATCTCATACCACTTTCAAGTTTGTCTCCTGATTCAAGTTAATTTCAAAATAATCTCTTAATTTCCCCCCTTCTTTTTAAAATTTTGGTCTTCCTGATTTTTTATTCTTCCAGTCATTTTTGCCATTTCGCCATCATCCATCAACTTGATCTGCCATTTTTCTCTGGTCAGGTCTTTATCTTCTTTCCATCTCTGGGCCAATAACATCTGTGGTTGCATACATGAATAGTCTTTTCTGCTTACTTGCGATTTCAGGACCTTGGATTCCTAAAATAAAGGCTTCGGGTTTTAGAAAAAGTTATTTTCAAGTGTGCCTCCTTTTTACCCCCAAAGTGCACTTTAAACAAGGTTGTGAAAGCATCGCTGACACGCTATGTTTCTGAGTGTTGCTGCTATATATGCTCTCCCTTAGTTGGGGTCAGCTGAGCAGGATCTGACCGTTTTCTCTCCTGAAAGCGGCTTTCTTATGTTTTGTTTTGTTTTGTTTTTAAGGCTGCTGCAATATGTTATGTGCAGAGTGTGTGTGTCCCTGTGGAGCTCAGTGGGATTTATTCCAGAGTAAACCGCTGAATCATGTTCAAGATGGAGGGCCATCCAATTGCCTCTGCAAATGTGACATTATTGCTTGTGTCCAATGCTAGGGCTAGTCTAGAATAGACCCGTTGAAATGGAGAGGCATCATGGGCCCATCAGTTTGAATGCAGCTATTCTGAGTATAAAGTACTGTAGCTGAATATACCCCATAGGTATATGCACTATATACCTCTATATACACCCAGTTGAATACACGGAGGGAGATGGAGGCATAATAAAATGAACTCAGTATTCAGGCAAGAATGTTACTTGCCCCAAAATGAAAAAAAGCAGATGTCCAGCAAAGGAAGTATGGATACAAAAACTTATGGAATATGCAGAAATAGCGAAAATGACTGGAAGAATAAGAAATCAAGATAACTTTTTATATATAAAAGAATGGAAATGGTTTATTGAATATTTACAGATAAATCGTAAAGAGATAAAAACATTGGCAGGATTCTTGTAATAACCTGCGGTTTCATAAGAGTATACAGTATATTTAAAGAAGATGAGTAAATGAGCAAATTAAGTTAATTTGGATATGCAGAAGATATTAAAAATAAATTTAAGGAACCGCAGAAAGAGGGGGAAGGAAGTCAAGTTTTGAAATGTCAAAATGATTGTAAAATTAGTGAAATGTAGAAATGTATAAACTTGAAAAGTATTTTAAAAAAAAAAGACCTGCGGGGGGGGATGAACTCAGTATTCAAAGCTTATAGATGTGCATCATTTTGAAACTCACATTATAATTTATGCACACAAAAAGGAGAGGGTATAAAGATTTGAAGCACCAAAGATCAAAGCCGAATGCACTAGCAAAATTGAATTCCGAAGGTTAGGATTTTTAATGGTTTCTTGAAGATCCATAAAGTCAATTCCTTCCCAGAGTTTCAATGAGTTTTCTACACGATTGCCTTCACTCTGATCCTTTGAAGGTGAAATTGTGGCACTGCATCTGGGCTGCTCTAAATTGTGATGTTCAATCCAGATACAAACTGAGTGGGGAATTAGGTTGTATGGAACACTTACTAATGGATAGTTTATTTAGGATCTGTATGCAATTTTCCTGTTAGATTTAAGATTGTGACTGATTTGGGGCATCTTGGAATCCACAGTGTTTTTATAGGGAGAAGCTGGCTTGTTCAGATGGACGCTGACAATGTAATGATAATGTATATTATGTGTGTATTATGTTCGTGTCTCCCTTTTGGTCAGAAATTGTCCTTACAGTGGTACCTCAGGTTAAGTACTTAATTCGTTCCGTAGGTCCATTCTTAACCTGAAACTGTTCTTAACCTGAAGCACCACTTTAGCTAACGGGGCCTCCTGCTGCCACCCCGCCGCCAGAGCACAATTTCTGTTGTTATCCTGAAGCAAAGTTCTTAACCTGAAGCACTATTTCTGGGTTAGCGGAGTCTGTAACCTGAGGCGTATGTAACCTGAGGTACCACTGTACTAACTTTGTTTTGGAAAAATTCTTATTTTGAGATGTTCACGTACTTTTAAATTATATTCCTGTGATGTGGGGTCCAACAGACGGACAGCAAAAGTGGATCCCGTATGTAAGCACTCATGGTTGCATATATAAACGTACTTCCAGCTTGGAAGGACAAACACCCACCATTCATTAGTCAGTGGTCTGAAGATTTAACACATCTAAACTACTGATAACAGGTAACATAACAATAATACAAACACAAGGACCATCAGATGCAAACTCTGTTCTCATCTTCATTTTGGCAATATTAAATCTAAAAGAATCACCCAGAACATCAGGAACTCATTTACCCACTCATCTTCCAAACTGTGATGCTGGCAGTTTTGTTTTGTTTTTTACGTAAGGTCAGGTTTGTAAATGTGCTTTAAAAAAACTACCATCAGGGCTCATATTTGCTTTCGTATTAATAACTACCCCTTAAAACATTTCCTCTTCACACTATCTTATGAAATCTATGGAGATAACCACATTGGGAGGGAGAAATGTAACTTCCTCCGTTTGTTTTGCAGCACAATTTTGTGTCATTCCACATGTAACTGACCAGCCTGCAGTTTATCTCTTATTCAGGTTCTGATTTTAAAATATGGTTTTCACACGTGTTGCAGTAAATTCTATTGAACGTTCATAGCACACACACCTTATGGAAAATAAATCCAATCTGCCTATTACTTGTTTTCTGTTTGCCAGGAGCAGCTTTGGAAATGACAATCAATTGATAGGAAGAGAAATAGCTGCAACTGCAACTGTGGGATGTGTGTATGTGAAGTTCCTTCTTCATTCTTAAACTGATTAAAAATCTAATTGGCAAGACAAAGAGAAGATTGATTATGTGAATATGTTTGATTAAAAAACGTTTTTGGTGTGGATTAGTACATTATTTGTCCATGAATGATTTACAAGTTGGTGATGAGGGGAACAAGAATGGATTAATACTGCTGTTGAATATTTTTTTTTATTTAATGAGTGAAAGAGTTTATTAGTTCAACTGAATATTAATTCATTTTATGCATTAAATGATCATAGCCTTTTATAATTAAATTGTACAAGAATGCCACTTATTCCATTCCTTTGTTCTATTTTGAAGCAAGACAATCAGCAGACCAGAATGAATAATCCCAATGCCTACAAATAAATTAGGGTTTTGAAAGGAAACTCTGTTGTGGGTTATTTAATCCTTATTTATTCAATCAATTTATAGACTGCTTAATATAAAAAAAAAACCCTAAGTGGTTTACAAAGCACACAGCATAAAGTCACACAGCTAAAATACATACTGGCCTAGTTTACAAGGCAGACTAAACCAAACTATAGTTAAGTGTGAATGAGGAGGCAAACGGGTACTCAGGAAACAAAACTTGGCTGCTTTGTTCCTTTCCTGTTTTTGCTGCTGTGTTGTTACCCAAAGCTAAACCATGGTTTGGCTTAGTGTGATGTCCAAACCAAAGCTTGTTTCCTCCAAACAAACCTTAAGTAGTAAGCCAAGGACAAACCATGGCTACTGTTATGTACTGAAGTTCTTACCCTTGGCCAGCAGGGGGATACTGTAGATACCTAGTTATGCAAATGAAGGATCGAAAGTGACGTTAAGTGATTGGATAGTTTGTATGCAAATGAAGGATCGAAAGTGACATTCAGTGATTGGATAGTTTTAGAAAATGGCAACAGTTACATTGTTCTGGAGCTCCATATAAGCAGGCTGACTGAGCTCCTCAGTCAGTTCTGTTCCAGCTTACAAATAAAGAGCTGCTTTGGAAGAATCGCTGTGTCGTCTGATATGTTCGCCCACAACTTAACAGCTACAGTTTGTGATTTGTTTGGAGCAAGACAAACCATGAGCCCCGATTCGGTTGAGCCCAGATTTTCTTCTAGTTGTGAAGGTGGGGGATGGGGAGAGGCCATAAGTGGAATAGGTATAAATATATTTGGACATAGCAAGTATACCTGGTGTTATGTTCCTGTTCATATGTTGTGAACTTAAAAGTTTACAATCTTTACTACTGTGTAAAGTTCTTTACAATGTTCCTGACATATTTCAGCTTTCTGGATTTATTTTTCATCTGGCCTTCAGATATGAAAGCAGAGTCTTTGTTGAAATTTTAAAAACCCCTCAAAAATAAATAAATAAATTCGATAATAATAATAATCAGGAAGAACTGTCCGACAGCAAGAGTGGTTTGACCATGGTACAGACTCCCACAAGAGAGGCGGCAGCCTCTCCTTCCTTGGCAGGTT